GGACCGCGTCATCCTCACCCGCGCCGCGCGCTGACGGGGCGCCTGGCCGCGGGGCCCGGACCCGAGCGCTGGTGCTCTGAGTTCGGAGCTGCATGGTGGGGATTTGAGGGCGGGCACCGGGTTGCTTGGAGCCAGAAGACCGAGCGCCCCGGCTCCGCTACTGCACTGATTGATGCCTGTCCTTCCTGCCCCCTCCCTCGCACGTTTCCTCACCCCTCCAGGGCTCTAGCTAGGGCTTTAAATGATAGTTTTCTTAATCAGGGCTGCGGGGGCGGGAAACGGGAGAAGCAAAGACCTAGTGCAGGGCAATGACTACCTGGGACAGCACAGCGGCAGGCAGGCGGGATCGAGGTCAACTCCCCGATCCCACGTTCATTCACGGAGCTGCTGCCGACCTTTCTCCTTACAGCCCTGTATTGCCCCTTTGGCTTCACCAGCTCCTCTCTTACTGGGACTCCCTTAGAACTGCGTAGCAACTGGGGTAGCAGTTTGCTGAGAAGGGAGTTCTTGCTACTATTTCTGGTGAGAGGAGACCGTGAGTTGTTTGACAGACTGGTATAGGTCAACCTTTTCCCGCCCCCGGAAAACGAAAACCAAAACCGGCCCCTTTCTCTGCTGAGTCTGGTAAGGTGATCAGTGGCCAACCCCTGGGAAGCAGGTTAGTAAAATATGGCATCGGTTTAATATCCCTTCCTTCCCAGAGCTGCCTCCAGCCTCTTCATTCTCCGCCCCTTTCCCTGGGTGATTTCTGGCAAGCTTGCTTGTTAAATCCTCATCACCTGTATGTGGGCTGTTGCTTGAGGAGGAGGAGGTCCTGTTTTTTTTTCAGCTCTCTGGATTCTACCACACCCATCTCTCAGTATTGTCTGCTGCCTGAACCTGCTTAAATAGGCCATGGAATTTAGGAAGTCTTAGAAACAGCTCTATTGCAGGCAAGTTGGATTCCCCATTCTTTTCTTTGCAGTCAATAACAACACTGATAGTTAATGTTTATTGAACCTTTACTCTGTGCAAACCACTGTTAATCTTTTCAACAGCCCTATTATCCATTTATGAATGGGTCAAATACAATATATTGCAGAGGTTCAGTGAGTGGTTGAGCCAGGATTTGAACCCTGGCAGACTCAGGTGTCAAGGATCTTGGGTATGAAAGTGATTCCCCAGTATTCTCTCAGTGGGACGAGAACTCAGGTTTCACCTATCTGCTTCAACAGCCATTCATTGGAATATTCAGTAGGTACTGCTCACCATACTAAGAATGGGTATGTCTGTTCTTGCTTCTCCGTTTATCCAGTGAAGTAATTGTCACAACTGCCTACATTTTACAGATGAAGGCATTTAAGCTCAAGCAAGGCAATAACTTGCTCAAGGTCATACACCCAGAAAGTGACAGAGCTAGCCTCTCAATCCTGTCTTCCATCCCTGAGCTTTCATCACTCAGTCTTTTCTTCCCTAACAAGAATGCCCACTGTATCTTCTCTGTATAGAGTAAAGAAATGGTGGAGGCAGATGTAGGGAAGAGTTTAAAGGTACAGTGAAAGATGTGTGAGAGAAATAAGATGAGTTCAAGAGAAGGGGCTGAGAAAAATAAATCCTTTATTTAACTTGTTTTACTCGCAATGACTAATCTAGAAAAGAATGACCGAAGTGGAGGTAAGTCAGTCCTAATAGTAGGTTTAGTTCCATCTCTGCGTGCATACTTGACTAACACGCCATCTGCATATCCTCAGCTTCAGGCAGGACGGCACCATCTCATGGACCCAGGGACTGTAAATCCACTCTGACAGAGGTCTGTGGAGGAGACACAGACACTGCTGGAGAGAGCTTCCTCTACTTGTCACAGCTGCTACCAAACTAGTAGAGTAGAATAGCCTGGTGACATAGGTCTGGATGGGACACCAGAGTGTGGCCGCCCCTCACTTCTCAGGCAAAGTAGGGCTTTGCCTGGATTGGTGTCCTGCCCATCTAGGCAGACTCAGGCCCCATCTGTTCAGCTGCAGGTTCTGCAGATAAAAGCTTCTGCCACCACACCATGAAGGTAGAAGGAAGGGTGGGTCGACATGAATCAAAGCAGTATTGGTCATGAGGTTGACTCCATAACATGTGACGAAGATGAATATGCCCCAGCTCCATGGAGCTCTCTGTGGGGCTGCTTTGCCCTCTATGAGCCAGCTGGCCAGGAAGCACCTTGAACCAACAAACTATTTAAAGCACAGGCTGTGGGGCCATCATAGCTCACAGCCCTGAATGGAAGTGTCCCTGCAACCTCCAATCTCAATAACCCTAGTACTGTCACAGCCCCTGGTTCTGACCACTTGCTTCATTTGGAGTATTGCCACTAAGGAATGAGGAGAAGAAAGAAGAAATGCTGTGTTGAGAATGTTTCCACTTGCAGTTTCACACAGACTCCTGTGAAAAAGCCAGATAGAGGTGAAGAAGCCAGTGGTGACCTGGCAAGGTCTGTGTCAGCAACTTGGTACTATAGGATGGGCCCTGTACTGAGACTAGATACCTAAATTCTAGTCCCCTTTCTGCCACTGAATGGAATAAACCTTCAAATAGGTCTAACCCTTGGTCTCCTCATGCTACTCTCCTAACTCATGATTCTCACCCCTTCTCACATATGTAGCTCTCTGTGAGGACCATTAATCCTTTGGGATATGTAACCAACTCTTAGAAATGGACCACGAAGTTGAGGAAAGAATGCTTCCTTCAGTTTAATCTAGAGATCCATGGTGCCAGAACAGATCAGACTGTGTTTTCTCAGCTACTAAAAAGGCACATAGATCAGACGATGTTAAAGCTGAAAGGGACCATAGAGATTATCCAGCCTTAACCTCTCATTTTGTAGATGTCATTAATGAAGCTCAGAGAGGCGCAATGACTTACCTAAAGCCACATGACAGATATCAGAGTCTGTCCCTTCGGAGCTCAGCCCTTCAGTCAAGATACAATGTATGGCTAATTGGCATTTAAACCTAGACTTGAAGACATTTCACATGCCTGTCTCATGTGCATGAGCTACTATCCTTTGCTGGATTGGAGTTGTTTTCAATAGAACTGGTCTGCCATTTCAAGTGACTTTGGACCCCTTAAAGGAAGTGGAAGAAATCTAGGGGACTGACTGGATGAGGACCCAGACATGCTCCCACCCAACCAGGATAATTGGGCTCCTGGGGATGCCCAGGATTCGACCACTCCTCATTCTCATAGGCAATATATCCCTGAGGCATTATCCTAAGCAGCCACTAGATGTCCATAATGCCTCATAGGGTTTGCCAGGAGTTCAGGGTACCATCTTGCCTCTAATAGGCTTTTGGGTTCCTTATGGGAGACACATCAGTGGCAGGACCAGCACAAGAGCAAAGACAAAAAGAGTGGGACAGCAGGTGGGGTGGAGATTAAAGTGGTGGATCCCACGTGGCCAGCTATGCAGTTCAAGTCCTAGACCTAGCAATTTAAAAATCATACTGGGTGCATGTGTGCCCAAATCCTGAGAGGAGAATGAAGAAGGGATTGTTGACTGGCCATTCCCCCCCCAAGGGGGGGGGGGCGTAATTTCTCACTTTCTTTCTGTTGCTCTCTGGTGTGTGCACATGTCTTAGCAAAAAAAAAAAAAAAGGAGAGGAGGAGCGGGTTTTGAG